GCTGTGGGCATTCCGTGTCGTCACTGGGCTGTGAGGGCACTTGAAAGACAATCTCTCTTCTCTGTGCTCAGACCACTGATGGGCTCTGATGAGCACCGTGTGTGACACTCAGTGTTTAAATGAAGGATAATCCCATGATTTATTTAGGTCGCCTCGCAGTTAATAATGAATGAGGCCGGCCCCTGCCGGTCTGACGAGAGGTTCTGAAGGGCCCACTCGGTGGTTCAGACACTTGCTACTCCTGGCAGCCTCTGGGTCTCAGCGTCTTTGATGAGCTCTGCCTTCCAGGGCGCTCATCAGGGCAGGTGTGGAAGGCACAGCAGATGAGGAAAACGATATTAAAAACAGGCTCTCCCCCCCCCCCACACACACACAGGATGGGGAGCAGACCGCCTACCTGGGAACCCGGGTGCCACTCTTCTGGGGAAGGTCTTATCACCCACAGCGTCTCCATAAACAGGGCTGACGATGGATTTAGGAAAGGCGCGTCATTCAGAACTTGAAACCTGGTGGAGCCCATGCACTTCCCAGCCCTGTCACCAGCAGCTATGGGACCTTGGGCAGCCATCGAGCCTCTCAGACTCTAGTCTGTTAAAATAAGCTACATGCAGCCCAGCTGGTGTGGCTCAGTGGTTGAGCTTCGACCTCTAAAGTAGGAGGTCATGGTGCGATTTCCTATCAGGGCACATGCTCCGGTTGTGCACTTGATCCCCAGTGTGGGGCCTGCAGGAGGCGGCCGATCAATGATTCTCTCTCATCATGGATGTTTCTATCCCTCTCTCCCTTCTTTTCTCTGAAATCAACAACAACAATAAAAGACCCCATAAAATAAGCAACATGCAAAAATGCCAGCACCTTTGTCCACTTATTTATAGCCCTTCAGGACCTGCTCACACCCTGTGGGATCAGCACCATCATCTTCACCTTTTTACAGAAGGGAGAGGGGTGCAGGGAGGTCAGTAGCTTGGGTTACGTTTTGCAGCCTCATTTAGTTGTGCCAGAGATGGTGAGACCCACCCATCCCACGTCTGGGGACCAAGAACAGTGGGCACCAGACAGGGCCGGGCTCTGGCCTCTGAACAATGCCTGTCTCAGGAGCCTGTCTGGGGCCAGGTCACTGACATGCGGTCCCTCCCACCCCCTGCAGCCAGAACCAGTTCATGGCAACAGCATTGGTCTTGTGGTCTAGGCAGTTTCTGGTGAGGTTCCCATTACTGATGAAAACCTCTACAAAATTGTGTGAGGAGCAAGGAAGCGCCAAGTATATTTTGGGGTCCTGGGCCTATTGCTGTCTGGAGAGGGTCACGCCTTGTGAGGGGACAGTGGGGGCCTTGCTGCCTGAGGGGCCCACAGGGAACCTCCTGGGGAGACTGGGTGGTTCTCTGAGCCCCTGGGGTTCCTTCGGGGCCCAGCAGCCACTCTGCTTGGACAGGTCAAGCTGTGTCCCCAACACGTCGGGCGCGGGTCACCCTCCAGGCAGGCTCCTCTGGGAGTCTCTGCCACCTCCATGGGCCATCGGGGGGTTCTTGGCTCGTGGCAGGGAAAAAAGGTGTTAAAGGCTGTCAACGCCCTGGAGATGAATTGTGTTCAGACAAAAGATAATACAATGGTGCATTTTAGGAGGACTTAGAAGTCCATGGGCCAGAAACGAAACTAAGAATAGGGGCCCACTCTGTGTCTCCCGCTATGTTCTCGCTTTGAGCGGCCCAGCCCAGGAGCTGGTATCCACGACAGAACCGAAAGCTCACCGGCCAAAGGAAGGCAATGCCGCTAGATAGTCTCAGGATTCTCCATACTCCGCGGGCAGGGGTGCTGGGAGAGAGGGAATGGGCCTATCGGAGCGCGTTCTTAGTTCCCTTTCCAGCCCGCCTGCTTCATGCGGCTTCCATGTCCCTGGGTATGGACATGCGGACACTCAGTCAGCGTCTCAGTGACGGGCTCGCAGGCTGCGTGCCGAGCGATCACCTGCTTGGCTTCTCCAGCCGCCGGCGCAGATGCTGCTGATGGTGTGTGGACAGACCACCTTCACCGAGGCAGGTAGTGAGAACGGGCCCAGGAAGGGCCCGAGGAGGCGGCCCAGCGATGCTGCCTTTGCTCTGCGAGACCCCGACACTGTACTAAGGGCCTTGCACACCCAGGACAGTGCCCGGGGACGGGGTGCCCACAAAGTGCCTCTCACGGTCACAGACAGGCTCCAGCCTCCTACCCCAGAAACTGACGAGGTTTCCCGGGAGGGCTCATCGGTGTCCCCGGTTCCCGACACTGAGAAGGGCCTCCTGGGGAGACTGTCCTTGGCTCCAGCTGCCTCCCATTGGCGGCTGAGGCACCAGGGCAGGGGCCTCCGCCCTGCTGATGCCTCCTTTTAAAAATATATTTTTATTGATTTCAGAGATAAGAAGGGAGCAGGAGAGAGAGATAGGAACATCAGCCATGAGAGAATCATTGATCGGCTGCCTCCTGTACACCCCCTACTGGGATTGAGCCCACAATCCAGGCATGTGCCCTGACCGGGAATCAAACTGTGACCTCTTGGTTCATGGGTTGATGCTCAACCACTGAGGCCACGCCGGCCAGGCATGAACTGAATTCTTCATGGTGCATTTAACTAACAGTATTTCAAACGATCCCCGTGCTCAATGCCAGTGTTTAAATAAAGGTTCTTAAAAAATGCACTTGGGAAAGTGTGGCTGTCTGTTGACGTCACGCACCGAGTCTCCCTTTGCGCTGTGACAGCGGTTTCCCTGGGACCCGTTGCCTGCTCTCTGCGAAGTGACAAAGCGACAGGCTGGGATTTTGGAAGGGAAGCTAGAGCTCATGTGCCAGCACCAGCAATGCCTTTGACGCGCCATAAAAAGCACCCGGGCATGCTAAGTGGAGGGTGTGGCTCGTCCACCTGAGCTGGGCGTGAGGCTCACTTACACGAGCTGCAGGCTTCTTGGAGGTAGAGGTTTCTGTGCTTCGGAATTCGAGGTGAGGCTGCTACAACTTACTCTGGTGGGGCCACAGCTCAGCAGGTCCCTAAGCAACGGTTTCTTGGGACACAGACTTCACTAGTAAATTACAGAAGTTTAATATAATTGATATATAACAGCATATAATTATTTATATAGTTATATAACTTCATATTAAAAATTATCCTATATAATAAAAGCCTAATATGCAAATTGTCCCCTCCACTGGGAGTTTGGGGGGGGGGTATGGGGCAGGGCCAGCTGGCCAACCTCCTGCAGCCCCTCCCTCCAACTGGCCCTGCCCCTGATCGGCCCCCACACCCCGATCGGGGTTGGGCAGGCCCGACCTCACCCATGCATGAATTCGTGCACTGGGCCTCTAGTACATCTATAATGATCTATAAAATAATTACATACTAATAATTATAAGTTAAACAAAAAGTACAGTGGTTTATGCCTAATGGTCAGGGACTTTTTCCCTTTTTTCTCCCTCAAGGATGATAGTATCCTGGTGCTCACGTAGCATGTGGCACCTGACATGTGGCGGGGACCCCTGACTGCTCATAGAATGCTGGGGAGCATCTCTGTCCTGGACCAGCTGTCTGTCTGTCCACCCTCGATGGCTCATAAATGAGTCACCATCTTTACACAAACAAACACATCTGACCAATACCAAACATCTGGAATGGACAAAAACAGAAACACTTACTAACTTTGGTGCCATTGGCCTAAATCTTCCTGTAGATTTCATTGGCGTAGCCCACCGCATGGGTTATATTTGAATCTCTACTTGAAACTCAGTGAAGTCTTCTTCATAGTCGATTTACAACACCATGGAGATAAAGGTGGGCGAGGTACATGCTCTGTGGACAGAAGTCCAGAATCCCGATGGCCTTGACAGTTCCCAGCAAAGCCCCAGGTTCAAGGGACAAGCCTGGTCCCCTCCAGAGGAGGAAGTCCAGGCTCAGGTTTGGGGAGCGAGGGAGGGGCTGGAATACAGGGCAGCCCAGGTCCGGGGGTTCCTAACCCCCACAGGGATCTCTCCTGCGTGTTGTTAGCTTCCTGTGGCCCTGGCCCCTGCTTTTCTAACCATTTGAAGAAAAAAAAAAAGCAATACAAAACACTGAATTCCTAGCATCTTATCAAAACCTCCCTTCTTTCCCCCTATCATTCTATCGATCTTGGTAATTTTTTTGATCTAAGTTACAGGGCCTGAATCCCCAGAATGTGTCATGCCAGCTGGGTGGTGTTATTGCGCCATACATCACGACGGTGACATCGCTGCTCACCAACCAGCAGCCCTTACAGATGGTGGGGAGACGTTCTTAGAGACCCAGGCCAGGCAAATGATAGCAAATCCAGTTTTTCTTAATGGCCTTTCCTTATTTGGTTTAAAAAATGACGGCGCGTCCTCTAATTCCAAAGACTAATAATGCCAAAAGGGTTTGTTTTCTCCTTCAAGATGAATGGCATTGACATTTAAACAGATCGCTTCCAGTGGGTCCCTGGGACTTCACGCAGGTAATGATTAAACTATTTCCAGCACGCGCAGCCCGGCCACATCTGTCTGGAGGCAGAACGCAAGGGCTCGAGCCACGCTTAGTCACTGCCTGCCTTGCTGGCGTTGCCCTGGGAAGTCCATTCTGGAGCCCAAGCCTCCTAAGGCGGCCGTGGAGAGCGGGCAGGTTTCACACCTGGAGTGACTGCTCACCTGCTGAGTCCCGTCTCCAGGAGCCCCTGGCCTTCCCCCTCCTCATACTGGTGCCCCGACCAGTCACTCAGGTGCCAGCTCCAGTTGCATCCCCTGAGCACTTTCTCTGGTGGTTGAGCCTAGCCTGTGTTCTCAGCACATCTCAGACGTGGGAGCACTAAGCAATGCATTGTTCGTTCTCCTTGGAGGTATTTATTGAACAACTAGAGGTCCAATGCATGAAATTTGTGCTAGGGGCTCGGCCCTCGCAGCCCCGGCTTCATCCGAAAGGTCGTCTGGGAGGTCGTTCAGCTGTCCGGTCTAATTAGCATGTTACGCTTTTATTATTACAGATGTGTCATAACCAGGTTTCAAGAACAAACACCTATTTTAGTTGCTGCTCCTGGGGAACTCCAAGTCTCCACAATATCTCAAGTCGTGCAACCCTGGGCTCCTTCCTGCCCAGCCTCTCATCACACCGAGCGATCGACGTGGGCTCTGTATATCTGTTTGTCCATCTGATTGAATGGTCCACATGTAGCTATGACAGTGGAGATCATTACACAACATGAAAAAGAGGACGGACATCTGGTATACCCACCAGACCTGGCCACTCCACAAACTTCCCACTTCCATCAACCCCACTCCCTCCCCATTGCTTCCAGCGGTGAGAAGCCTGAAGCTGGTGATCATTCCTCAGCCTCTGGCACCTGCAGCTCCCACCAGCGTGCTTGGCTCCCCCACGTTACCCCGAGTCCAGGCAGCTTCCCTCTGCCCCTGCCGTCCCAGCAGCAGAATCTCCTCTAGAGACAGTCTGCCCTTCTCTGTTTCACACAGGCCAAGACACTCCTCACGTGGCTCTCAGTTTTGGTCCTTCCATGGGCTCTTACTTCTAGAAGTTCTCAACTGAGATATAATCCACTTCCCATTGCTGCTCTGCCCACGGAACTCTTGGAAACCGGCTTCCAGACTTGGCTCTGCTGGTACTAATTCCCGAGTCCCACTGTCATCAGCTCCCTGGTTTCATCCCTCACTCTATTCATGTAAGTATGATGTTCCTCTGTGTGTGCTCACCTGAGGGCACGTGTCCATCACCCCCTGTGTGCTCACCTGAAGGCATGTGTCCATCACCCCTGTGTGCTCAGCTGAGGGCATGTGTCCATCACCCCCTGTGTGCTCACCTGAGGGCCTGTGTCCATCACCCCCTGTGTGCTCACCTGAGGGCCTGTGTCCATCACTCATGGATACATGTGGTGAGTATTTCCTAGATTGAGGCTCCTCAGGGGCCTCCCAGGACTTTCCTGTCACTTCCATTCTAGCCTTCAGCTCTGGGACAGTGAGAGAGTCAACCCAGGTCAGTACTTGGTGTCAGTGGGTCACAGCCATTTGGTGGTTTTGTCACCCACCCCCATTGAGACCGTGAGCTCAGCCAGGCAGGCCGGTGTTCCTGGGTCTTGCGTGGTAGCTCAGCACCGTGGGTGAAGGACATGGTGACATTGCCTGCCGACTCAGTGCTGCAGATTTCTCACCCTGCGTCTCCCTTCAGGCCTGCATCCACCTCTGAGGCTGCTCTCTGACTGCCCTGGCCGGGCGGGCCCTGCCTGTGCCTCAGGTCCCTGTCCCCTCCTGCCCCCCAGAGCGCCATCCTGGGAGCCCATGTCCCAGTCCTCCTTGTAGCTGTCATCCAAACTAAACACATCCCAAAGGTCACATCTGATTGACTCTTTTTGTGAAACAGGGAGTATTTTTTTCCATTCCAAAGCCCTGTGACAGGTGTGCAAATGGTGAAGGCAGGTGTGGCCCAGGCACAAGGAGTCACAGTGTATAGGGGAAGGGCTCCTCCAAAGAGCAAGGGGAGGGGGCAGCAGACACAATCAGTGAAGACTTGAGGACACAGGAGGTGATCCCCCTGCCTCTACCTGAGCCCTGCCTGCCTGCCCTGTGAGCTGAGCATGTGGGCATTCGGCCCTGAGTTTCCGCCTTGTACTCCCGTGCTCCCAGCCCCCAGAGGGATATCAGATGAGGTGTGGTGGCCGTGCAAGATCAGTGTCCATGGAACAGGAGACCTCCATCCGACCCCACGGGACCTCGGATGGAGGAGGTTCAGGCACCTGGTCCCCAGGAGGGGTGAGGAGTGCAGGGCGCCGCCTCTGTGGGGGGAATTGCCTTTAGAAATGCAAAGAGCACAGAATCTGTTTCCTAAGACTTCCCCCTTTGGGTTAAAAAGAATAGCTAAGGGTTTGATTTGTTCCTGGGGGGCTGCAGGTGAGTGTTCTCAGCCTACTGCGAGGATGCCCCCGGCGCTTCAAATGACGCGGCGTCCTCCTGCAGGGATCTGGTCGCCAAGACACTAGACTTTTTCCAATTTAAAGTTGAACTTCAAGTAATAGACTCGGCTACATTTGGTTTTAATATGAGGAATTAGAGCCCGACGTCGGCCGATCTGACTCACCGGCTCACCGGCCCATCCCCGGGGAAATGACGCTGGAAAATGGCACAGTGGATGGAAGGCCCGGGAGGACCAGGGCCGCTCAGGAGGTGCGGGCCTTCACCTGCAGCCGGCAAGGACGTCACGGTCACTCAGGAAGGGCGCCTGTGACCGAGGCAGACAGAGCGGTCCCTGGTGCGGCCCCATCACGGCAGCTTGGGCAGCTTGGGCAGCCTGAGCCTCCCGCAGCCGGCCTGCGAGGAGAAACAGTCCCGTGAGCGCCATTGGCCTGGAGACGGTCCGGAGGAGGGGCCACTGCATCCTGAGAGCTTCCCAAACCTGGGGGACAGACCCCCTCCACCCATCACCCCAGGCTGCAAGAGCGTGTGCACCGCCCCCGCCCCCACCCCCCGCCTCATATACACACACAGAAAAGAAATCAGGGAGTCAATGACTCTTAAATATATATATAAAATAGACCTAATGATGCAAGATGGGATTTTAGAGGTAAAAACACTAATCTACACGATTTTACGTTTCCTTTTCCATTTCTGTGTTCAGTCTCCGTGAGCAACGGGGGCCTCAGTGCCCACCCGGACAGCTCCCTGTAGGGCAGCTCCCCTGAGCCAGAGCAGCTTGGAAGGCCTCGGGTCTCTATAGCGAGGAGGGATGGCTGCACCTGGCCCTGGAGGTACCTGCCTGCTCGGGCTGACCTGCCTGTTGGGCCGGGATGTGGGAGATTGGAACACCCAGCAGAGGGTCAGGGTCAGAGAGTGGGGGAAGGGAAGGGTGGGATTTGACATCCACTTTTCTCTGCACCCCCCGCCCCCGACACAAACACTGGCTCTTTGAATTGCTAGTCATCCTTCCTCTGAGAAATTTCCAAACTTATATCACTTAAACGATAGCTGTTCTAACGGTTTTTTGGTGGCGATAACTCTAATACCACGACTTAAAAACCGTGGCGATCTTAGAGTTCTGCGAAATCTCTCTTCGTTGGGGAGTGCATCAGACAGTTGGAAGCCAGCTGGGGAGGGAGGACAGGCCTCCAGGGTCTCCGAGTGATGTGGGCCTGTCCTCTGAGGGCACCTGTCCCACCCTTCACCCCCCAGAGCTCGCTGCTCTGCCTCCCCTTCGGATGCCAAGCTGGCATTCTCGGCCTGGCCCCACGGAAGGCTGGGTAGGCATTTCAGCCTCAAACATCAATCGCCTCCCGGGAGAGATGGCTCAGGCCCGGAGCGGAGCTGGGCGGATTTCAAAGGCCTCTAACAAGCAAGCACAGATCGCTTCCTGAAACTGCGGGTCCTCCGTGGTGGGGGAGGGAAATCATTCCAGTCATTAACGCCCCTGGCTTTGCTTCAAAGGCTGTGGGTTCTGGAGGGAGAAGGCGGGCCTCTCTCGCCTGCCTGGGAAGGCGTCCCTTCTTTTATTCATAAGCCTCTCTCTCATTAGCCTCCTTATGGATCCGGGTGCTGGGGCGGGGGAGGGGACGCCCGCGCCCTCAGAGGAGCCAGCAGAGCCCTCGGCTTAGAGTTCTGTTCTGAGAAGAACGGTTTCGGTTCATGCACTGTTCCCACGCCAGCTGTTGCGTGGCCTGTTCAGGAAACAGCGGTTTCTTCCAGAAACCCACAACCGAGAGCACTTTTGTTGTTGATTAAGACGCAGATGCTCAGCAGCCCCCAGAGGCCTTTGCTGGGCTCGCTCGGAATCGGCCGCTCTGGGCCTGAGCCCTGGGCCCCGAGGCTGCCAGAACCCTCTGCTAGGGGAGCGCCAGGCTGCGTTAGGGCCACCGGAGTTGGGGTTCAGAGGAGCCCGTACCTGGAACAGAGCTTGTCTGCCAGGGAGGGCGGGCAGGTAGCCTACAGCCTCAGTGCCTGACCTCTGGCCCACGCAGGCTGAGCCGAGAGAAGATGGTGGAGTGTGGCAACCCTCCCCTTCCCTCCCTTTCCCCTCCCCTCCCCCTCCCCCCTTCTCTCTTCTCCTTTCCTCTCTTCTCCTCTTTACTTTTCTTTCCCCTCCCTCCCGCCCTCCCTCTCGCTCCCCCGACCCTCATGACTTCTCAGAACCTATCTGGATGCTTTAGCTAACCACCAACCCCGCGGCATTTAATAATTAATCTTCAAGCCGCGTGTGGTCACCATCCTTTAACAAGATCCGACACTTCCTCTTTTCTTACCGGAAAATCGGCTTTTAACATCTTCGGGAAATTCCTTGTAACGTGCGTGGAGTTAAAACCGGAGGTCAGGCAGCAGATGGACGCTCATTCATGGTTGAGATTTGTACATAAAATCGGACGTTCGCCACCCGGTCGACAGGATCACAGTGTCATCCGTGGAATATTCGCCGTTCGCTCGCCCACCCACCACGTGGGAACGGGCGCAGCGTGAGACCCCGGTGGTGGCACCACGACCCAGACATGTGAGTGTCCTGTGAGAGGCATCGCCACCGGCCGCCTCCCTCGTGACGAAGATGAGCTCCTGCCAGCATTTCCGAGCGTTTTCTTGCCAAATACGTTCTGCCAGTTTGAGTACTTCTAACCCTTTCTTCTTGTGAAAACACACATTCCTTAACTTTAAGTAAAAATAATTTCTTTATGTGAAACCGGGGAAGAACAGTAAGAAAGACCCACAGAAATAGGACAAACTGCGATCGGGTGGCTGTCTTCCTTAGATCAGCTAAGACTCCGGGAGGAATCAGGGATGATTCTCTTGCAAAGAAGTAAGTAAACACAATGGCTTAGAAATAACAAATGGAAAAGAAATCCTTGAAGCATCTGGCAATTTGGGTCATTTTACTTGTTCTCTGCGTATTTGGTCTGGGTGACCATTCGGCCTGGAAAATTGGGCAAGTCTTTATTGTTTATCATGCATTTTATTTCAGCTGCTTCACAGAAAGGGATTTGATGGAGATGATTCACAAGGACCAGAGTCAAGATCACATGGGCCCCTGAAGAGACGGACAGGAGCCTGCAGTGGTGCTCTGACTCTCAGGACCCCTTGCCGTGGGCTGAGCAGGGGCTGAGCTGGGTCCTGCCCTGGGCCCCGCCTGCCTCGCTGCATCCACAGAACCAATGGCCAGACGGCGTGGCTTTGGTCACTGCTGCTCTTACCACTGCTGCTCTCAGCCACCTGCCCGCCCCCAGAGGCCAGAGCAGCAAGAAGTGTGGTCGGGTCTTCTTGTGCCCCCTGATTAGGTGAGTCCTTTGTGTCCCCACTGCCCCCCCTCCATCTTTGGGTGGAAAGCAGATGAGAGGCCCAGGGGCTTGGGGAGACCCCTCCCCCCAGTATCCGTGACCAGGCGCTGGCGGGCATGTCCCCTGCGGAGCCCTTCTTGTCTTTCCCTGGCGCAAAGCTCCCAGAAAAACGGGGCTACTAGGAACAGAAACAGCAGAGCCGGCATCTGAACAGGTTCCACCTTGTGGTGACTCTTCTTGACGATCACGTTTTGGACAAGGTTTCTCTCTCTCTCTTTGCCTTTTACAGGAGAGAGAAGCGGGACTCTGAAGTAGATGGTGTTGATCCAGACTGACATGTGCTGTGACACGAGTGGGGCCCCCACAGAGCCGAGGGCTGCAGGCGTCCCTCCGGGGACTGATGGGCGTCCATGGAGGAGGAAGCCCGGCATCTCCACAGACCTTTCTCCCCTGGGTTCCGACCCACCACGCCCACATGGTGGCGAGGCCTCTGGTGGGCCCATCTCGCACTACGGCTGCAACCAGCCATCGTTTGCTGTGTCGCCCACACCTGAGTGAGGGCTGCTGGGGGCCTGTGGCTGATCCCAGACTCGAGGGTAAGGGTGTGTGTGTGAACTGGGCCAGCGATGCAGATGGCACAGGCGGAGAGCCCCTCTGATTGGCCAGAGCGCCTGCACACCATCACTGCATGTAATCCACTGCGGAGACTTGGTTTTGCCATATTCTGCAGAAATAAGACAAATAGAAGAATAACCAGACTGTGAAGAAACAGGAATGGAATTCTGGTGAGAAAATTGCTTGATAATGGCTAACACTATATCATAGTGAGCAAACCTAAATGTGTCCAGATTAATGTATATTCACACCAAACAAATGTTAATTAAACAAGCTACAGTGTAATGCTCTGCTCGGGCTCTGAAGCTATGTGTCCACCAAACCGAGGCAGCCAGAGGCCCAGAAATGCCAGGCACCACTCTCTCTGTGTCGCCTACTTATTGTTCAGCGAAGATGCCCCCTCTGGCTTGCACATGTCATTGCTGGGAGAGCTGTCTGGCTAACTCAGTATTTCCTACAGGTATTGATCACGCATTAGTCATTCCAATAAAAGTCAGAAGAGCTGCCCACCGTGTGGGAGGGGTTTGATTAGCCTCCTTTTGCAAAAGGGCCTCTCCCTCCTCTTTGAGTTGGAAGGGTGGAGATGTCTTTTTGAATTTTTACTATGGACCAGCCAAAGCCTCTCGGACAACACACAGTAGCACTGATTTCAAAGTAAGTCTGCAGGTGTTAAAGACCTACACTTATCTCATGAGAAAGTGTCCTGTATTCAGAAAAGAAAAAGAGATAGGGCGTTGCCTTGTCGGAGTTAAAAACGTGTCCCTCTGCCCGTGCCACGCCATTTGACTGCGGTCAACAGGCGCTCCTCAGCCTTCTTCCCTTTTCCTAACAGAACAGAGGACCAGACAGAAGCCCTGCCTCTCCCTGGACCCAGATGGGGGGAGGGGAAGGCCAGGGACTCCCAATGGGCTCAGCTTTTCCAATGAGAGTGTGTCCACCCAGGTCATGAAGGGGTGGAGGTTTTCTCACTTCAGGATGATGAGCATGAGAGGAAAGGCGACAGGACCAGGCCTGGAGGTGGGTCGGTCCAGCAGAGGGGCAGCGTCCCGCTCTGGTGTCGGGACCTGAGTTTACACTGTGGGTGTGGCCAGTTACCCACCCTCTCTGAGCCCCATCTCCTTCATCTGGAAAAGGGGGAGGAAAATCGCGTAGGTTTGTCGCTTGTTAAGTGAGAAAAGCATGCGCCACACTTAGCGGTGCCCAGTGTTTGCCGTCGGGCTGTCCGTGGGAGGCCACGCTGCGGGGGATCCCTGCAGGCTTCGCTGAGTCACAGGGTTGGCCGTCTGTGTGAGCGTGGGAGGGCCCGTTGCGTTCGTGTGTGGGCACGTACATTTAAGGCCACTCGTTTGCTGGGCATAGCGTCCAGGGGCAGCAACAGAGAGGCCTCCCGTGTCCGTGATTTTGGTCAATGGCTCCCTTTCCATATTTTGGTCCTGAAGCCACTGGCTCCAGCTATACTCTGAGACACAGGGTCTCCTAAACTTGAATGATGGGACAGTAAATAGTAATGGCCCAGGGTCTGGAAGCAGCTTTGACCCCATGTTCTGACCAGAACTTGGGCAGCTGCCCAGATCCAGCCGCTGCGGCCCCTACAAAGCAAATCCAGTCTTGATGTCTCTGTACAAATATAAAGGGCTTCTCCCCTCCCCCTCCATCCCTCCCACCTCCTTCTAGAGTATACACCGCGCCGGGATGTATGCTGGTTGCTGTTGAAACTCTGGGCTGAGACCAGGGTAGATTCCAAGCAAACCTGGTTAGACTCCCCACTGCTGCTCTTGGGAACCTCAGGGACAGCAATCCTTATGTCTATCCTATTCCCACAAAAGTAGAGTGGGGAATGGGGGTGGGGCAGGAGACTGAGGGTGGGACTTGAGTCATTTGCATCCTCCCATGTGGTGTCACTCCTTTGCCGTGCCCCCACCCCCCACCCCCGCCCAGCCAGGCCTTCACCGTATACTGTCTGTGTCCATGGGCTAAGCATACATGTTCTTTGGTTAATCTCTCCCAGTCCCCCTTCCCTCCCCCCTGGGCATTTGCTTTTAAATTAGCCACACACATTTATCATGTGAGCTATTAAAAACAGAGCTTTAAATGCGTTGTATGAGCAGCTGAAAGGCTTACATCGCTGAGGTTTAGAATGGAATTTACTAATTTTAATGTCAAGTGCATTGTTATTTATCCAGCTTCTTAATGAAAATATAATGCGCAATAACCTTTAAAAGTTAATACAAGGGGAAAGAGAATAACTGCGAAGATATATTTATTTTTAAGAGTCTCCATATATCACTCTTTGCCTGGAGCTCAAGGACTCCCTGTAGAAGTCATTGTCTGGTATGTTTTGGGGTGACAAGTGACTGATGCCACCCTATTTTCCTTTCATTTTCCACGAGCCACCACATGAGAAAGGCGCTTCACCCTCCAGGTTGAAACCAAGACTTAGCTGGTGGGTATGCAGTACCGGGAACGAGACCCATGGCACTTTCTATTTTTTTTTTTAAAAAAGTCCATTTTATCTTTATTCTGTTTCCCAATGACAAAAGATCAAAAATAACAGATGTTCATTTTAAAATTCAACCATTACAAACATGACTAACAGAAATAAAAGTCAGAGATAATCGCTGTAAAAATATTGTGTCTGTTCTTTCAGACAGCTTTCTGCCCGTGAATAGTTAGGACTTTTTGTGTGCATTTATATAATAATGGGTGACACTTACTTATCATTTTTTTATGCCGGAGTATTTTACACGGATTAGTTCGTGAGACACAGGGATGTTATGACACGTACCCAGCATTGCCTGGGTTTGACTCAGGTGCCGTGACGGTAGCGCCCGCCTGTCCCCGCACCGTGTGCTGTTTATTACAAACCACTCTGTTACAAAGCGCGGCGGTCTGGAACCCGCTCCCGTTTCTGAAACCTGTGGCCAAGCTCACCACGTAACTAAGGCATCTTTCTGTGTCGGTTGTTAGGTTATGTTTTAATGGCGGCAAACTCTACCACTCGTGTGGATGACCAAGAACTGACGTACTCAGTCTCCTACTAACGGGCAGGTGAGGTGTTCGAAGCCCTTTTCTATTATGCCCAGTGAGTGCCACAGTGATGATCACGGTACAGGCCTGTTGGTGAGTGTGGGGCGGTGTTTTTGAGAACTGTCAAGAAGACAACAATCCGCCTCAGAGGAAACACACACTTTGTGCTTCATTAGACAGTCACAGGTTGACTTCCAGCTCCAACAGCGGACGATGGGTGGCGGCTTCTCTCACGTCCCACGAAATTCGGGTATTATAGTGTTCCTTAACCTTTGCCCATCTGATAGAAAGGGCGGTGGCTGGTGTTGTTCTTATTTGCAATTCTTTGATTTTCCTTAGTGAGGTTGAGTGTTTCTTCTTATACCTCATGGCCATTTGCATGGACTTCCCCTGGGACTTTTCTGTCCTTATCCCTTTCCATATAGACTTTTAAATCGTACTGTTTTGTAAGGTTTCCTTATATATGAAGGACATTGCTGGGTGACCGTGAAGCAAATAGAAGTGATGAAGTGGGTATTCACAAATCGGCACAGGTTATGGAGTTCAGTGGACGAGCAAAGGAAATATAGCAATGCCGACGGCGCCGTCCTCTCTGTAAATGAAGACAACACACGCGTGAGCTCCTCTGGAAACGGCGGACAACTTAATTTACACCCACGCTGCCACCGAGAACAATGAGGAGAGCCGGGAGAACTGTGCTGAGGGAATTAAGACCTAAATTAGTGCAGCGGTAAGTGATGAGCATGAACTGAAAAAAATCAATCCTCCCCCAAATTTACCGGCAGAGATTAGAGATTAGGCAGAACCAATCCAAACACCGGCAGGTGTGGGTTGTTTGGGATTTTGTTAATTTTTTAAATAAATGGACAAGCAAACTCCCAAAGTTATTTGGAAATGTAGAGGCTGCCAGACAGTCAAGGGCACATTGAAGAAAATGAAAAAGCGAGGGAATTTGAGCTCCCTCCTGCCGAAATTTATTCCCAGCGAGATTTAAGAAAGCTGGTTATTGGAACAAAGATGGACGCGTACAGACCAATGTTGCGGAAGCAAGTCCAGACACAAACCGCGTGTGTGGTTCCTTGAGTGATAGCAGACACAGTCCCCGTTTTACCGACAGGAAGGGACAGACTTTTCTCCAAGGTCACACACTCCGTGTGCACGACCGGGAGGAATTGGGTTCTAATTCCCAGTGCGCCCCCGCCCGGCCTCGCCCGCGGGCCGCGGTTTTACCAGCAGCCGATGGAACACGCGGAGAATGGGGCTGAGTGGAAACATACCTCATGTTTATAGTTTTCCAGAGCATCTAAGGGCACTTATGCGCACTGGGTTATTAAGACAACTTTTCCCAGCTGTCAGATCGAGTCATTGGCTCTTCTTCCTCTGCGAAGCCAATGGGAATATTAAAAGATTTGCTCAGTAAACTAATTTCTAAAGTTCCCAGAAAAATATAAGCCTCGAGCTCACACGGCCTCTTCCCTAATCTCTTTAGCGAGGTGAGAAAATTTACTGTGGTCCTCTCCATTTTCCCCTTCACAGACCACTGGTGACGCTTAGATGGGGATAATAAGGGAGAAAATGAAATTCTCTCTCCCTTCCCGAGACACCCCACACATCACTCATCCCCCGCGCTCTGGCCCCGCCTTCCTCTCTGGCCGGCCGTGACCGCCGGGCGTCCAGCTGTCCCTTTAAAAGAGAAAAACCGAGGCTGCGTGGGACCACACTGTCCATCTGTTGTGAAGTGCTTTTCTAAAATAATCCCATCATCGCCGGCCACTCCGACAGGTAATCTTCTTTTCTGAATGGCTGGGTGCCGGCCTGCAGAACGGCTTTTGTAGCGGGCACCGTAGGGTATTACATTTTTCTGGAAAGGTGAACGAGGGAAATGGTTTTCAAATTGAAGGAAGATAGTTATGTTATAGAACCTATTAGGACGGGGACACAATGAAAGGGCCCGGGCGACCTTCGTAGTCACGTGTCTCTGGGGCTCTCCGGGCTCTGCGGCCCCTCAGGTCCCTGTGCTGAGGCCCTGCTGAGGGTCAGGTCTCCCCCACAGCCTGATATAAGGACTTTTTAGAATTGAACGTTGGTGAGAAAGAAGCACTTCATTCAATGTGGCAAGCGGGACGTGGCTACATGTCCTGGCTGTGGCACTGTCCCTGCCTTCTGCACGCTCTTGAGGGACCTGGCAGACGGACCCGCCTGGCACCCCCCATGGGGCAGCAGGAGGCCGACAGGTTCCCCCAAGTCCATGCCGAACGTGCTCGAGCATCCTGGCCTCTCTGGGGTTTAGCAGTTGTGCCTCCTCTAAGATGCGCATGTGTGTGGCTGTGTGCGCGTGCATGTGTGCGGGCGCGCGCGCGCGCG